TTGTTACCTGCTGCACCGTTTGGCCCTTGGTCACATATTCATTCCCCACCTTCACTCGGGGGTAGCAGAGGGCCTTGAGCAGGTCTGCTGAGTTCAGACCCATCAGGTAGGCAGCCTTGTCAGCAACTGAACACAGAGAAAGGGAGACAGTGACAGAGGATAAGTGATAATTGAAGGTGGATCTCCTGTAAGATGTCACTGTAGGATTCAGCAGTGAAATTTTTTGACATCTTAAAGGGAAATTTAGAATATTTTGGAAGCTGAGATTTATGTCTTTGTGAAAGTAAATTATGGCAAAATACCTGAACGCCAACTGCCAGCTATGTAACTGATTCTGTTATTGAGAGTTCTAGATTTTGCTGATACCTTCAGTACCATCAGGCTCTGCCTGCTCCTCACGCTGCTTCTGCTTGAACTTGAGGTTCCCATAGTGCATGACAGCCCCTGTCAGCTTGTAGATGGCTGTTCTCTCATCAGCAGTGAAACCCAGGATGTCAATGGCACTCTGGCAACAGAATCAGACAAATAAACCTCTAGGCCATTAAAAGGAACTTTCATCACACCAATATGCTCTGTGACACTCACGTCTGTAGCCATCAGCTCTTCCTGGTCATTAATGCTGGGAACAGTGATCTCACCTTGACTCACAAACTGATAGTCATATGGGTTGGTGGTGATAAGGAGCATGTCTGTAAAGAGGAATAGGACATATCTGGGTGTGAGAATGAAGATAAGTGTTGAATATCTTCAGATTTTATCAAACACTTTCTAATACTTCCTACCAATTAGCTCTGGCTTCTTGTTGGACATGATCTGATAAAAGATGTGGTAGCTTCTTTCTGCCTTGAGCTGGAAAGTGACTCTGGACTTCTCCAGCAGATCTGGCAAGGATGGCAGGACAGAGTTAGGACTGACAAGGAACACTGAGGTAGAAAGGGAGGAAGGAATGGGATCAGATCAGGAGGTCTCTTACATGTTTCAATGTCAGCAGAAGCCAGTTTGCCCGTGGCCCCAAAGTGGATTCGAATGAATTTGCCCTTTAGAGAGGAAAGAAAAAAAGGCATTTTTAAATTTCACCAAGATGTTCTTCATAGACGACAGGCTTCAAATGTAGTAGTTGTTTGGATTTTATTTCTTCTTTAAAAAAGCAAAACAGGACAAAAACAATTCCAAGAAACTCTCTATACTGGCAATACTAGGGTAAATATTGGAGCTTTATTACCAAATATTATTTAATGAATAACTGTAAATACACAGGAACAAGAAAACCACAAAGAAAACCTTTTATTGGGTCATTTATGTTGCAATTAAAACAGATGAATCTGAAGGCCATTTTTTAATCAGAGAGCATGCTGTGAAGGTGGATTTTGGTGGTCTAAATGTTAATGGGATTTTTTTGGTCTTGTGGAAAACAGAAGTGAGCTGTTACTTTCTCAGTTTCGGGGATAGATAGATATTATAGATGTTTAAACATATTTCAATTATCCCCCTTTGTGTGCTGTATTGTACTTCCAAAGATGTATTTTTAATTTGAGAGTCTAGTTAATTTCTAGTTGTCAAAAATATGAGGAAAACATTAGTTCAATGAATACAGTCATCTGACTGTGACACTTCAGAAGTGACAGTATCTGTTCTGACATTCTTGTTCCCTCATAAATGACATCAGAAACTCACAAAGCGCGAGGAGTTGTCATTCCTCACGGTCTTGGCGTTTCCAAAGGCCTCCAGCAGTGGGTTGGCACTGATGATTTGATCCTCAAGTGTCCCCTAAAATGGAAATCTTCTTGCCATGATCTAGCTTCTAAATAAATTTGAAATTTTCAAGTTTCTACCCCCACAGGGACCTCACCTGCATTTTGCCTGATGTCTGCTCCTCCTTCTTCTTGTCCCCGCTGGCTGCAATTGTTGCAAAGTACTGGATGACACGCTTTGTGTTCACAGTCTTCCCGGCACCGGATTCTCCGCTGTCAGAGTAAGGAGAGAAGCAGAGAGCGTGTGGTCAGGCAGGAGGGGCCCTGGCCCTGGGCAGCCCCTCAGGGACCCGAGCAGGGGGTGTACGTACGTGATCAGGATGGACTGGTTCTCCCGATCTGGGGAAGACGCAAAAAAAACCAAATTTTATAAATAAAGAATGTCAAAAGACTGAAAATTAATTCAGTAAATGTAGGTTATGACATTATGCCTTGTTACACCTAGTCCATTTGACTTATCATTTTTCCCAACACACTATCTCTGATACTATATTTCCCTTTTAGAAAGACTAATGTGAAAAAATCCTGTTTAAGGTAACAGTAATTAATGCTATGACCAACATAGAAGTCTAATGATGTATTAGGAAAATATTAGCATATTTGTAAGGGTAATTCTGTGACCGCTTTTAAAATGTGTTTTTGATGGGATCACCCTTAAAGTCCCTCACCTGCATAGCATGCACTTAAAGGAAACAAACAAGCAAAATGTCAAAACACCTCACAGAGTGTAGAGGTGTCTTTCATTTCAAACAGTAGAAACAATGTTATGAAGATAGTAAACCCCATAATGAATATGTGTGTCAGAACCATGAAAGCTTTGAAGAAGTCCCTTCATATTGCTGAGAATTTAATGGTCCAATCTCTCTGAGACAGACAGAGCCACTCACCAGTCAGCATGAACTGATAGGCGTTGTCAGAGATGGAGAAGATGTGTGGAGGGGCCTCCTGGCGCTTCTTGCCTCGGTAGGCCAACACCACCTCCGGGTTGTACACGGGCAGCCACTTGTAGGGGTTGACAGTGACACAGAAGAGACCCGAGTAGGTCTGCGAGGAAGGGACACAGCACGTTGACTTCCCCTGGGCCTGGCAGAGCAGTTCCTCCAGCTGCCCAAAGGAAGCTGCTGCTGCCACTTACGTAGATCATCCAGGCTGCGTAACGCTCTTTGAGGTTGTACAGCACAGCGGGTTCGTGGAGGTGGGTCATCATGGCCATGTCCTCGATTTTGTCATACTTGGGAGGGTTCATGGAGAAGATTTGATCTTCCTTCACGGTCAGGGTCTGCCAAGGAAACAAAAGATGCACATATGTCAACTGAAAACTCAGCATATGAATCAAATGTTGTCCTTCCGGTTTGTTTTTCACTCACCTCTCCCTTTTCAGTCTTGACAGTGACTTTCCCTGATTCCCTGCTCTGAATTGTCCCTTTCACAAAGGATTCCTTTGCATGTACCACAAAGACGGATGTCTTGGCATCAAAAGGCTTGTTCTGGGCCTCGATTCTCTCCTTCTCTGACTTCCGGAGGTAAGGAGCTGCTGCTCCAAAAATGGCCATCTCAGCATCTGATGACATGGCTGCACTGTTTGGTGGAGCTTGTCAGCAGAGAACACTGCGGAAGAGAGATATGTTACTCAAATCAGTCAACGTTTTTTGTTACCTCACAGTTTATCAATAGACTCAAACTGAAATAGAATGTGTGATTTAGGAAGACTCTCAGGCAGTTGTTGGTTCACCTTCCTGTGCAATCAGGACAAATGTTGGATCCACGTTCCAAGAGGCTTTTCCAGTGAAGTTTTTATTATGTCCAAGAATTGATATTTCTCAATATCAGTCCCTCTGCATCCCAGTGTAATGTCTGATGACCAAGTTGGTGACTTTTCCCCCCTATTTATTACCTAATTAAAATATCTGTGGCTGAAACCCATGTCTTATTATCCCTCAGCCTTTCACTCTGCCTATCTGAGAAGACTCTGGCTCTTTCTACAATATACCCACCTCCTTTTTGTTACAATGACAAGATAAGAGTAAGATAAATACTTTTTAATTTCATCCCCAACTTAGACAAACCTCATCCTCTCCTCATACATAATTTTCTCCTACCAATGTTGGAAGTTCTCCACTAGGCTCACTCCAGAATGTCACTGTCTTTCTTGACACCAGGAAACAGCAAACTGAACACAGTGCCCCAGATCTGGGAGCTGAATGCAGGGAAAGAATTGCTCCTATTTACCTGATGGCTATGCTGTTCTGAGTGTCTGACCATGTGCTGTTGACCTTCATTCCTCCAAAGGCACACTCTGACACATGCACCAGGATACAAGACCCTCTTCCACAAAGTCATTTTCCAGACAAATGAAAGCCAAGGTATCCTGTTTATGGGGCTATTCTTTCTTACATATGGAACTTTACACTGCCTTTTCTAAAATTTGTGAAGTTCTTGTTGGCTCCAGGATGAAGTCTTTTGGGGACCTTCTCCAGGATAACATAACTTTGTAGCATATTCACAAGTCCCTCTGTTTGATGTCATCTACCCACTTCATTTGAGCTGCTAGTGATGATGATAGATATCAAGCTCCAGCACTGAAATCTTTCTAGTTCTGATGTACTCTATAATGTAATTCAAATTTTGGAAGGTAACAAAGGAAAGATTTGTATTTCTTTTTACCTTTCTAGACATCTACATAACTTTGGGAAATGGTTAAGTCACTTGTGCCCTGTCAAGCTGAGCAGGGCAACTTCTAAATTCTAGGACCCCCAATTCCTCCTCAAAAATACCTCTTTTCAGTTAGATTGATGGGCCCCAGAAGATTGGAGATTTCACCAGGAAAATTTTAAATGAAAGCATTTGTGGAGGAATGCTGCTGGGATTAAATGCAATAGCAATAGAGCAATTGCAATTTTTTAAGTTCAAAGCTTTAAATAATGCTGTGAATGTTTTGTGTCCTTCTGCAAGTAAATATTAAGTGCTGGGTTCCAAATTGGAACTGAAGCATCAGTGAGGCTCCATGCACAGGAGGAGAACATTCACACCACTAAACCATAAAGATATTAAAAGCTTTACTTGCATATATACAAAAGAGATAGGTGAGTCCAGAAGGTGTTCTGAGGACTATCCAGTGCATAATGGCTTTTGCTGATGCTCTGAATCATTTGCTAGAGTTGTTGGCTTCTCGTACAAAAACATTTAAGCTGCTCGTCATTGTAACATCAGTCTTTGAAATAAGCGTTGCACCTTTTCTCTCTGTGTCAGTCAACAGGGAGTTTTAGGGACAGAAACAGTAAGTGTGGAAGCTAAACAACTACATCCTTCTAGAAACTGCCATCCTGCTTGTCCTCTAGCCATACTGATGGATGTTGCCTTCTTGGGTTTCACACTGGCAGACCTCCTCCAGCAGAAAGGTCGGTCCTGTGATGAAGAATTGTCATCCAACCTTGTGGTAAGGGCAAACATCTAAAGCATGTCTGGGGGCAAATCTAAACCCCTGAGGCTAAAAGAAGCTTATATTCCATCCTCCTAATTTTTTAGAATAGGTTGTGATTATAAAGTGTGGGTAGATGTGTAAAATCACTTTCCTATTGTTGAAACTATCTGTGAATGTTGGGTGTGCTGTTGGCTGTTTCTAGTCTGTGCTAGCTGGACCCCATTTGCTATCAATTTATGTCCTTTAGATGTGTATTCTTAGAGATACACATAAATTTGTTTTGGGGTTTAAATGGAGAGATACACCCAGGTCCAAATTAGAAATAATCCTGTCTGTGGACAACAGAACTGTTTCAAAGATCTATGAAAGTCATACCGGAAATTTTAGAGTTTTGTTCTGTGTGAACAAAAAAAGACTTCCACCCATCCCCTTCATGTTCCATTGTCCAAAATGTTATTGTTTAAATAATAGTTTACTTCCTATTTGATTTCATGCTTAAATTTTACTGTGGCACTCACCTTAACTCAGTTCACTGATATTTCCTTGGCAAAGGTACAAATCTGTTGCAAGTGACTTAACCCTGGGAAGCAGTGTGTGAGCAAGTATAAGGACAGATAATACATTAGATTAAAATACTGCATGAGCAGTTATTTCTTTGTATGTTAATTGTTTGTGAAAATAACTACAGGCAAATCTAGAAATCTTAGTTTAAGAATTTATAAGTCAAAGCTGGATATCTAAATGCAATACTGAATTTCTAAAGGAATACCACATGTCCAGAAATAGAAAGCATCTGAAATTCTAGGAAGTTAGACAAACAGACAGGTTTATTAGATGTCATGTCATAACTTTTAGTTACCTAAATAACCAAAATGTTACCAAACATTTGCAGAAGTCCTAGTAATGTGCAGAACCTCTGCTTTTCTCTGTTTTGTTTCATAGGAATAGGAGAAGTACATCCCCCTTCTTTTTCGTGTGTTTGTTAGTTGGTTAGTTACTTCTGCATTTTTACCAATTTTCCTACTAGGAGGCCCACATGCAGATTATAACCCTGCAGTATCATCTGAGAAGTATTTTCATTTATATTTTTTGGCCAGTTTCATATACAGTAATACATATAATTTATTACAAGTCTGTAAGATTTTGATGTAGTCTGTTCTATTGGTTGGCTCTATCTGTCTGGACTTCATGCCAGAACAGATCATTTACCTCACTATTCCATAATTAAACATGAGGAATCCCCAAGAAGCATTTCCTGGCATGTCATCAGTGGCTAGTGACTTCAAGCACAGCCTTGGAAACCTTGTTTGCCATGAACAGCCTCCCGAACTATCAGCATGTTTCCTTTACCATAAAGGAACAGTGGCCAGGAACATATGGGCATATAGCAATTGCCTACAAAATTTTTTAGAAATTTGTCACCATGAAGAAATCTGTTTACAGAAATCTTCCACCTTTTCCTCTGTTCCTTAAGTCTGAGTAAATTAGGTTCTTACCTCTTATGCTAGGGGAAGAGCCTTGCAGGCTGGAAGATGATCAGTGCTGTAAAGCAGAAATGGCAGATTCCTCATTACTGCTGCACAGACTTCCACAGACAGGTCTCAAAGTGAAAATACCAACATGCTTTATCTTATAGATATCAAATCCTTGCAGGTACAGATACAGGACAGCAGGGCTGAAGCGGGACATCGACTGCAGGGAAACTGTCCCTTTCTGCCAACCACAGACGTGCACTTACCATAAAGTTTTCTCTGGAGACAGGAGAGCACAATTTCAAGAACACTTTTATAGAGTCTGGGCAGTGCATGCTGCAGATGCCTCCTCTGTCTTTGGGCAAAGCATTTTTGGCAAACCTTGTCTTTGGCAAAGCATTGTCTGGCAAACTGAATGAACTGAAAACTGGAAAGTGATGTTACTGGATATAATTAGAAAATTTTGGTCTCTGACTAGCTATGTGAAAAAATCTCCTATAAATAATATGAGAAGGTTCCTAAGACAGGACATGCAGCTAATGATGACCAGAGGAATGAGGGTAACCCCTAGTAACTGTAAGCCATAGATGCTCCATGAATCTGAGCTAAGGGAGCAGGGACAACCATTCACTGGGCAAGCACAGTGACATTTGGGTGCATACCTTAACTTTTTCTGAGGCCGATCTAAGTCTGATGACAGTTGTCCTTTCACAGAGCTCTCTACTTACAGATCTTGGATATATGTGGATTTCACTGTTGTCTGCACTGCTGAACTCAATTAGATTATTAAATACTACTCTGTTTCACTTTGTTCAGTTGTAACATAATATAGCACAGTATGTCAGAGAGAAGAACTACCTTGAACTATTCTAAGTGCTCTTTACATTGTATTCCATCTTTGGATATAAATATAAAATAACATTCATCTGTGTATCTTCCAATATTCTGTAAATCCAGAGTTCAGAGATTCATAGCAGGACCCATGACTGTGTTCAAGAGTCTTTGCTAGATTGTTGTTCCTTTGATTTAATCAATTTAAGACCAATTTTGCTTTTTGGCATTCAAAGATCTCTCTGACAATGCTATTTATAGATTAAATAAATTGATTGAAAAATCTTTACTTTAGTGGTACTTATTTCCCTGTCAATACTTAATTCGTCCCACACTAGAAAAAAAATCAACAATACCTCTTCACATAACAAGGCCAATAGTACTAATCTATCTTAACTCTCCTTGTACAGAAATCACTATTTAGTTCTCATTATCTCTGACATTATCCTCTGTAATTTCTGGTTTTACATTCTTTCTCCCATGATCTGACAATATGCAGTGTTAATACTGCACTACCATGAATCTGAACACTGTCCATACTCTATTTGATAGTTAGGTCTGCTTTTCCTGTGTAGATAACTTTGCACTCATGGGTATTTTTTCTCCAGTGTAAGTATCACAGACTTCTCTCACAGCTATTCTAAATTTACTTTTTCCCACCAAGAACAATTTTTTGTCATCAAGGATATTCTTGAGATATGTAGACATGCTGTCTCAGTTTAATGAGACTGAAGTGTTTTGCTAAGGAGGATGAGTTATGAGGAAGACCAAACTCCTCCCTCTAAGCACTTGTAAATCTAAAATTAAGAGGCTCCAGTAGAGGAAGTATGGTGAAAGAAAAAATAACAACCCTTTATTAAAGGGTATATGTGTATTGGCAGAAGAACAAAAGAACACAAAAACAACCAAACAATAATCCTGTACCCAAAAATCCCCTTCAAAAGGAAACAGTTCAGTACTTTCTGCCCTTTGGTGCAACTCTAAGGATGACCAGCAGGGGGCGCTGATGGATCCCTGGAGGAGCAGAGCCTGCAGTGCTCGGTGTTGGCCAGCAGGGGGCGCTGTTGGGCCCCAGTGCACGGGAGGAGCCAAAAATGGAGATTTTCCCCGAGAAGGGGAAGGGGAAAAGAGGGATTCTTCCCATGAAACTCACACTGTCTGCGGCTGGCTGTGGCCAGCATTTCCCCCCTTTTGTCGATGGGCACAAACCACTGCCAAACAAGGGAGCAGAGGAGGGAAAGGGCGACCTCCTCCCCAAAAAGGTTCCTCTGCAGATGGGTCAAACCTCTCCGATGAAATCCGAGCAGATCTGGGCTGGGGGCAGAACAGGGTGCAGGCAAGTCGGGGCCATAAAACAGGCAGATGACCAGGTCGAGAACAAAACGACCTCAGAGCCTTTCCAACACACACCTTGCCTGAGTTAAGGCAAAAGTGAAGTGACGCTGTTTTCCCAGGAGAGAAGTTAAAAAACCTCATCACCCTTCCCCACAGTCTTAGGAGGGCCATCAGCTTGGAATGCAGTTCTGTCAGTTAGTTTTCTGTGTGGATCAATCACCCAAGGCAAACCACCCTCCCCCATTCAACATCTTTCTTTTACAGTGAGACGGGGGAAAGAAAAATTCCCTACTTGGTTTTTTAGAGCAAGAAAACCTATGACACATGCTTTTTTCAAGGCCAGAAGTATTTAATCCTTACCTGACAGAACTCTAACATGTAAGACTCAAATATGTGAAACTATGGGTAACGATGGTTAGTTTTACTGTTTGCCTTTATTGAGGCATATGATCAGGATGGAGTAGTAATTCAGGTAAAGAAGATTTCAGGAGGTCCTGGCAAAACTCCAGGCACAAAAAGGCAGCATATGGATGTGGAAGCAAGGATAGGTAACCTGTCCGAGCGTGCAGGGATGAGCTTAGGAAAGTCAAAGCCCAAATGGGATTGAATCATATAGTCATAGAATGGTTTTGGTTGTAAGGAACCTTAAGGACCATCTGGTTCCAACCTTTATGCCATAGGTAGGGATGCCACCCACTAGATGAGATTGCTCAGGGCCCTCACAGTTGGGACATTCACATCTTCTCTGGACAACCTGTGCCAGGGCCTCACCATCCTCTCTCTGAGTAAAGAATTTCTTCCTAATAGCTAACCTAAAGACTGTCGTCTTTTAGGTTAAAACTGTTCCCACTTATTCTATCACTATCTGCCCATGGAAAAAGTTGCTCTCCCTCTTTTCTGTAAGGTCCCTTTAAGTACTGGAAGGCTGCAGTGAGGTCTCCCCAGAGCCTTCTCCATGCTAATCAATACTAGCTCTAGGGTGGTTCAGCCAACCCTAATCTGGCCAAAGATGCAAAAGATGTGAAAAACAGGGTTTACATAAGTACTTAGGTGACAAAAGAAAGACTAGGGTAAATGTGGAACCATTGCTGAATGGGGACAGAGCATTGGTGGCTTATGACATGGAAAAGTCTGAGGTACTGAATCCTGGTAGTAAGACCTTTGTGAAACTTATGGCACAGAGAGCAGGGAGAAAGTCTGGAACAAAGCAGACATGGCCTTGATGGAAGAGGAGCAGGTCAGGAAATACTTAAGCAAACTGGGCACACAAAATCCATGGGCCCTGAAGAGACACACTCACAAGTTCTGAGAGAGATGGCTGATGTCACTATGAGGTGACTCTTGATAATCTTTGATCTATCATGGTGATTAACAGAAGTGCCTGAAGGCTGAAGGAAGGCAGATGGCACTCCTGCCATCAAGGGGGGCAAGAGAGAGGGTTCAGGGAACTACATGCCAGTCAGCCTCACCTGAATCGATTGGGAAGGTGTTAGAGCAACTGATCCTAGAAACCATTTTGCAGTACCTTGAGGACAAGAAAATAATCAGGAGTAGTCAGCATGGTTTCATCAAGGGGAATCATGCTTGATCAACCTTATCACCTTCTATGATGAAGTGACTGGCTTGGTAGATGAGAGTGGACATTGTTGACCTTGACTTTGGGAAGGCTTTTGACAGTGTCTCCCATAAGGTCTTTGTAGAGAAGCTGTTGAAGTGTAGGCTGGATGAACAGACAGTGAGGAGGATTGAAAACTGGCAGAATGACCAGGCTCAGGGATGGTGCTGAGTGGCACAAAGCCTAGTTGGAGACCAATAGCTGGTGGTGTACCCTAGAGGTCAATATGAGTCCAGTCCTGTTTAACATTTTTAGTAATCTGGATGATGGGGCAAAATGCACCCTCAGCAAGTTCACTGATGGCACAAAGTTGGGAGGAGCGGCTGATAATGCTGATCGTGCTGCCATCCAGAGAGGACCTTGACAAGCTGGAGAAATGGTCTGACAGGAACTTCACCTAGCTCAACAAGGAGCCTACACCTGGAGAGGAGGAACAATTCCAAGCACCAAGATTTTCCAGTATGACCCAGCTGGAAAGCAGCTGTGCAGAAAAGGACCTGGAGATCCTGGTGGACACCAAGCTAAATATGAGCCAGCAAAGTAACTTCGCTGCAGAAGAAGGCTAATGGTGTCCTGGGCTGCATTAGGAGGAGCGTTGCCAGCAGGTCGTGGGAAGTGGTCTTTCAACACCGGTGAGGCCACACCTGGAGTGCTTGTTCAGTTCTGGGCTCCACAGTAAAGGAGAGACAGGGACATAATTCAGAGAGTCCAATAGAGAACTATGAAGATCATTAAGGGACTGGGTCATCTCTACTTTGGGGAAAGGCTGAGAGAACTGAAACTGAGAGAATGCGGAGAAGAGAAGGATCAGAGGGATCTCATCATGTATAGTAATGACTGGAGGCGGGGTGTAAAGAAGGTGGAATCAGGCTCTTTTCAGTGGTGCCCAGTGACAGGGACAAGAGGCAATGGACACAAACTGACACACAGGAGAATCTATCAGAACATTAGGAAACACTCTTTCACTGTAAGGATGACTAAGCACTGGAGTAGATTGTCTGGAGAGGTTATGGAGTAAATAGTGAAATAACAAATTTTTCTCAAGACAGAAGTATTCAAGATACTCATAAATAAAAATAATGGTTGATTTGCATGACAGATAGCTGAAAGGAGTGGCCCTCAGTGGCCTTCCATGACTGCTCAGTTTGGAAAAATCAGGTGCCAGATCAAGTACAGATCTGTCAGATAAAAGTACCCTCCAAGAGACTGTAGATCCTGCTGTACCCAGGATGTGTTTTCCAGGGCATCCAATACTGCGGTGTCCTGGTAGAGGAGAAGTAATTATACCAGTGCAACTGGTCTGCTTAAGTTTCAGTCTCTTCTATTCCATTTGCTATTTCGTTTGACATTAGGCAGAGCTCCTATCCATGGAACAATGCCTGGTGGTGTCTGCCTTGACTGCGGAGCAGTTTAGCCAGTCATGTCTTACGCCATTGGAATGGTGCTTGTCCAGTCTACCAGATGTGGCATAAACCAGTTGGAGTTGTTTCTTTTTTTATATACTTGGACATTCTCTATTAATTGTTCACTGACATTGTTCCAGGCATCACTCAATTGTTAGCTACAAAGAATAAATGCTGTTTTGCAGATCCCTTTGGCTCAGAATCTGATCTAGATTAACAAGAACTTCAGTGTTTTTCACATCTTGCTCTTTTTCCCATGAGCATCTTGCGTAACTGAAGGGAGTCAATGCCATTTTTGTTCCTCAGCATGAACTACATGGTTATAAATTAACATAAATATGCATCTCCTACCATCTAGGCACAACAAACATCTATCCTTTCAGGGTCAGAAAATAGGGAACAAGAAGTTAGCTCTTGTTAATGAGGGATATATGGATCAATAGCTTCCTTTGCCTCATGTTTTGCACAAAAGGCCTGGAGGCTTTGGAAAGACTGAGAGGCAGAGAGACCAGGTGCTTCGACAGTTTTGGCAGATGGTGTCTTGCAAGCTGAAATAAGCTGAATGGAAGCGGTGACCCTCTTACTGGCTGAAGGAAAGACTGTGGATGTCATCACCTAGACTTCAGTAAACTGATTCAGCATTCTCCTGGAGTAACTGGCTTTCTGTGATGTGGATGGGTGCAGGCTTTGCTGGGCGAAAAACTGGTTGGATGTCCAGGCCCAGAGAATGGTGGGGAGTGGA